AAGATGGCCCATACAAGATCACGCCCACATAAAATCCAGATGTCCGCTCTCATTCCCGAATTAGCAAGATGTCGACGAGCTGGTACAACAACTGGAGATACAAGTATCTTTTTCTTTTCTTTCTTTCTTCTCTACGTCTTTTGTCTATCAATTGTGTTTTAATGCCCAATGGCATAGAAGACACCATTATTAAAGTGATGGGAGTCACTACTGCAGAGTATGATCTACTTTTCTCCGTTACTGCATGGCCTAACATAGTCCTTTGCTTAGTAGGAGGAGTACTAATAGACAGGTTAGTGGGATTGAGGCTAGGATTACTCATTGTGGTTAGTTGTGTACTACTGGGCCAGATTGTATGGGGTATAGGAGGACTTGTTGATAACTACTTTATTATGCTTGCTGGACGATTCTTACTTGGAGCTGGAAATGAGTTAGTGGTAGTTATTGATAATGCTTTTAAAGCAATCTGGTTTAAAGAGGACCTACCACTTGCCATTTCAATTGATATTGCATTCAGTAGAATAGGTGGAACATTAGCTATACTTCTTCCTCAGTTAATATATGACAATCTCACAACATTTCATAGTCCTACTTTTAGACTAGGAGTCACACTACTCACTGCTGCTGGATTAATGATAATTGGGCTGACATTCTCTTTAACAGTATTTTTCATGGACTACAAACGAGAGAAACAAGTTGAAAAAACACCTAAATCAATTACAGGTCATAAATCTAGCATTCTAAAAAATGTGAAGCAGTTTTCAGTACTATTCTGGTTGAGTACAGCTATTAATTCAGCCTATTTTCCAGTCTTGCATTCGATTGTTGGAAATGCCCAGGATTTTTTCATGCAGAAATATGGCCTTTCAATCGAAATGGCAAACTTAGCCAATAGCTTGTTGTTTGGTGGAGCAATTATATTCATACCAATTGCTGGGTTTCTTACAACTAAGATTGGCTTTCGTTTGTATTGGTTGCTGTCATCACTTCTAATGACAAGTCTCCCAGCTTTATTGTTATTTATGTTCAGTAATGGAGACAGTTACATTCCATTCATAGCAGGAATATTGTACTCTCTCTCGTATTCTATTATTGGGCCATCAGTCACAGCTCTACCAGCTTTTATAATAAACAAGGAATGCATCACTACAGCTTACGGTATTCAGAAGAGTCTTTTTAATGCTTCCTTTTCTTTAATAGCATATGTTACTGGTCTAACTATTGATACTCTTGGTTACTTTGTTTTGCAGGGATTATTCACACATTGTATTATCTTTTGCATTGATTTGACATTAATTATGATCTTTATTGATGTTGCTTCTAAAAAGCCAAAACTCAACATTTCTGGACTGTGGCTCCGTAAAAATACAGGATCTACAAGTTAATTAAAAAAATAGATTGAATTTGTTACTAACATTCTTTCTAGTATTCTATTACTATTACTCACTTTTGATTTAATTATATTTTTCATGATTGTAAAAAATTAAATAGTGCTACATAA